TTTCTACACCTTCACTTTTAAAATCTACATTCACATACTTGCCATTTTTTTGAAATTTCTATGGTGACGATTCTGCATTCTCAAAATTTAAACCTTAATAAAACGTGTGTATTTACCCCCTAAAGACAAAATAATCCTTTAAGATGACTTATTTTGAGTTGTTATGTCAGATGAAATCATTAGATCTCAGAATAAAGGAATGGTTTAGCAAATGCACTGGTTAAAAATGCGGAATTTAATGGGCCAAAATCATGAATCTTAATCCTAAATAGGGAGAGTTGGCAAGTATGCATTCAACGTCCCTTTTTTTTTTTGTGGTCCCTAATTTTTGCATATTCCATAAAATGGTCTTTTTTTTAAGGGAGTAAAGTTGGGTAAGCCATGGTGCCATGTGCTGTGACAGTATAAGGATGGATTAAATTTGCTTTTAAGTTTCATGGGTTGTATTTTTGCAATGAATCATTTTTTAGGTAAAAATCGCAAAAAGTTAGAGGACTGCAAAGAAAAGCAAACCTTAATTCACACTTGCTGAAAAGATTACAAAAATAAATTTTAGCGAAACTTTTATCAAACCAGAGATCCCATTGAAAACCCACTTGATCAGTCACTTGCCCATTTGTGCAACTATACATGTGACTGCGAACGGAAAATTTAACCTTGACTGTCTATGGTAAAAAGGAGGTTAAAGTGCCCTATAATCCACTTAATAACCCTATACCGCATATTTTGCATGTTATGCATATTCTTACAAATTTTCTAGATGTCATAAAACCTGGTGAGCAATACAGCAGGCCCTGTTGGCCTCTTGCTTCAAATTTTCTTACCATATGCTGTGGACCAAGTTTTTGAGTGTGGGTTTCTTGTAGCGTGCACTTCTAAGAAAACTGATTAAAATCACACTTATTTAACTCAAACGGCAGTTACTAAGCTGTTGTCGTTCATTTACATAATCTTTGAATTGAAATTAATCTTGAAGAATTATTTTGCCGTTAAAGCAGCATTGCATTTAAAGCAAAACGTGTCGGTTGCATAAATAAACGGTTTGTCATCATTAATGCCGATTTACAATAAATTAAACTGGTTTAAACGGATAAGGTTGGAGTTGCATGGTGATTTAGTGTAAAAAAAAATGCTGCGTGGGTGTTAAATGTCAATCGAATGTCGAAGATGTGACTGAAATTTTCAAGACAATGAATTAATGGCACCACAACGCATATCAGATTACAATCTGAATTCCAGGACTGGAGACATTTCAGACCTCTGTGACCTGAAGGAATGGTTATGGGCGTCGACTGATTATCAGTTTGATCAAGAACTCAGTCTGTATATCCATCAAATGAGAAATTTTTCCAACGTGTTTGGCCCCAAATGTCTGTCAAGCTATCTCTATACCAATCTATCTTCTTAAGGTTAAACTGTAGAATTTCGTGGATCGCTTGCACAGATATCGGATTTACAATCCGAATGTTTTTGTGTTTGCGATGTTTATTTCGGAAAACTCATTTTCTGAATTCGTAAACCTCCATACGAATTACTTATCCTGTGAATGTCCATCCAAATAATTAGCTTTAAGATATGAGCTGCATAAACACTAATAGGATTTCTGTTAATTAATTAAAAAAGGAAGAATTCACCATCTACAAGGGCCCTTATTAATAACTGATATTGTATATCTAACGAATAACCATGAAAGATGAGCTTGGATTGGTCAGAGTTGATTGGAGGAAACTTTGAACCAATCAGTGCTGATTAAGTATAGAAATCTTGGACAGGTGCCAAGATCTACTGATAAGAGGTTTTTGGGTACCGAAAGGGGAGATTACTCTGAAACATGAGAACGAAGCTGGCATTATGCCCTAATAATTAAAACGACGTAACAGTGTTCTTATTTTATTTAATAATAATAATAATATTAATCATTTGAGGTTCTTATATATACCGCTTTATTACAACCTAGTTCGTAGGTCGTCTCAAAGCGGTTCACAAATTATTATCCGTGGTTATAGGACCTTTGCAACCAGCCAATATCTTTCTCAACTCCATGGGGAGCATACAGCCAGTGCTGCCATTTCAGCGCTCACAGCTAGCATTCATCAATTCTAGCACTCATTTATAGCTGCATGAGTAGACTGGAACAAACGGAGTAAAGTATCTTGCTCAAAGATACAACACAGTGCCATGCCGTGACTTGAACCGGCAACCCTTAAGTCACGAAACTCGACATCCTACCACTAGACTACTGTGCCTTCTAATAATTTATAAAAAAATTGATGTAATACCATTATGTAGGTCTATCTATTTGTACAGAAAATTAAAATGGAGAATACCATAAGGCGTCCGTCAAACAAAAATTTGAATTGAAAAAAATCAGTTTTTAAATTGGTTTTTATACACAATTTTTGGTTTTTATACACAATTTTCAAAGGAAAATTTTGATGGGACGAACAATATTGTGGGAAATTTTTATCTGTCTATTCGCACCTCTTTTTCTGCTAAATTTGCTATCTTAAATACTAGATTTAGATGAAAACTAGTATATGCATGTACAAAACACAAAGGCTTAGTTTAAATTTTAGTGAAATCTGTGTATAATTAATTTGCATACATCACTTTGATTGGTCAATAATTTCTGATGACTTTGTGAGCATTTATGCTATACAAAGTCAAAGGAAATTTGAAGTTTGAGAAAAATCTACCTTGAATTAAGTAAGCACTCAGGAATTTCATTATTATGAAAATGTATTTGTTCATGGACAAAAGTATACATGTGTATAGAGACAGTACTGATATAATTTAACTTATGTTCTAGTTCGCTCCTCTTAAACGAACATGAATTATTTATAAATAATATAATATAAACTCAAACTCATTACTGAAAGTTCGTCTGCCTAGCTAAACGATGACGTACATTTATTCACTTCATACAATTAATGTTAAATCGAAGTTCAAACAGCGAGTCCCAAACTTTATATTCCTCTCTGTCTTCATCTCCATCTGATTTTGAACTGTTAGGAACGACCATGGTGTGCTCGACCATTAAAGATTCTGCAATCACAAAATGAAAGACACAGAAACATGCATTTCCAAAAAGGGGTGGGAGGGTGGGAAAGTCTGTATCGTTCAATATGGCTTAAGGCAGACACAGACACCTGTACGTGTCGTCACTGTCCTAAACTCGCCTATCACACGTGCCTATAATGAGGCATGTGCTGAACTCTTACCCAGACTTTTCCATGCACTCATTTACATAACTATGATAAATGTACTTACTTCTTTGATGTTTACCTATTGCCTGAATTGGAATATGGACAAAGGGAGGCAATTCCTTTACAACTAAAGATTACTTTAAGGATCCCCGTACCACTGCCAAAAACTGTAACTTAGTTTTGGGAACTGTTTTATATCCCACATGACTATATAGCTTTGATTAATCATTTCTGAAAAGAGAACCATACCTTGCAAGCCTTTTATGAGAAATAGTAAAGATGAAATAATTAAAATACAATCAACAACATTGTTCTGATTGTAAAAAAATCAGCAGGGTAAGAGCAGGTTCAGAACCCTGGACTACAAAGTTAATGTACTATCGCTCTTACCGATTGAGCAATCTGGTCAACAGAATTATCCTAGCCCAACTGTGCTACAGTGACATCCAAACAGAAGTTAAGGGGAGGTAACTGTGTATAGCAAAAAACCCACAAAGCAGTGGGACAGGGATCCTTAAAGGTATTTAATGGCCATATTTTTTTTGTATTTTCAAGTTGGGGAATCAGATGTCTCTGTGTTAACTCATTCACACCTGAGGACACATTTGAATTCTTCCAATCCAAAGGTTGGAAATTAGTCCATTATGAAACTTCAGGGGTAAACGAGTTAAAAGAGATATCCTTGATGGCCAGTAGTTGCCTTAAACTGATAATGTTATGGAGACAACACCTGGATGGCCGGTAGTTGTCTTAAACTGATAATGTTATGGAGACAACACCTGTTGGCAAGTAGTTGTCATAAACTGATAATGTTATGGAGACAACATCTGGATGGCCAGTAGTTGTCATAAACTGATAATGTTATGGAGACAACACCTGTTGGCAAGTAGTTGTCATAAACTGATAATGTTATGGAGACAACACCTGTCGGCAAATAGTTGTCATAAACTGATAATGTTATGACGACAACACAAGGATGGCCAGTAGTTGTCATAAACTGATAATGTTACGGAGACAACACAAGGATGGCCAGTAGTTGTCATAAACTGATAATGTTACGAAGACAACACCTTTTGGCAAGTAGTTGTCATAAACTGATAATGTTACGGAGACAACACAAAGATGGCAAGTAGTTGTCATAAACTGATAATGTTACGGAGACAACACCTGTTGGCAAGTTGTTGTCATAAACTGATAATGTTACGGAGACAACACAAGGATGGCCAGTAGTTGTCATAAACTGATAATGTTACGGAGACAACACAAGGATGGCCAGTAGTTGTCATAAACTGATAATGTTACGGAGACAACACCCGTTGGCAATAAGTTGTCTTGTGCTTACCGTATTTATCCTTCAATAAGCCCAGGGGGAAAACATATATTCTCTTACTGGTAGCAGGGGATGGGCTTATTACAGGACATCATTTAAGTAAAAGTTTTTGTTGGCATTACTTTCTAACTGCAATATATATTGGTGGGCTTATTACCAAGCATGGGCTTATTGCTGGCTAAATACGGTACTCTGTTACATTCATCATTATTGGTCAATTAACTCATTCACCCCTGAAGACACATTTGAACTCTTCCAATTCAATGGCTGGAATAGTTCATTATAAAATTTCAGGGGTGAATGATCTATTAGTAGCCTTGATGTCTCATTGTTACAGAGACATACTTGGTGGTCAGTAGTAAATTGTCTTGTAGAGATACAGTCATGGTGGTCAGTGGTCATCAACATTATGACGTCTTTGTCGGAAGTCACAAATACTGACATGTAAACTCTGTATGTTACAGAAACCTACTCGGAGGCTGTTAAGAAGCTGAAGGGAGAGTATTTGATAAAGGCGTTGGAGGAACACAAGATGGACCAGGCCCTTATCTTCTGTCGTACAAAACTTGACTGCGATAACATGGAGAAATACCTCCTGCAGAAGGGAGGTAAGTCTGTAATCCAATGAGTGTGGAGTTTGATAATGTGTTTTGAGATTTTGAAACATTAAGACAGTTTCAATGTATACACTGTTTGCGTATAGATAAATAAAAATAACTTTAGAAAAACATGATAGGTTCAGTTAAAAAATCCACAAAAAGTGGAAATAAAATAATTCTTAATTCAAAAGTGATTCCATTAAAATCTGATGTTGTAGCCCTTTCACCACTGTAGACCATACTAGACTCCTTTAGATCAATGAGAGGGTTTATTTAGTTGAGTTACATAGGGATGAAAGAGTTATACAGATAATTGGTCAATAAGAGGCTTAATTTAATTGGTTTCTGGTTAAGAACGAAACGCCATTTTAGAATTAGTTTAATCATGAATCTTTTATTCATATTTCTGAAATATGACAGTATAATTTCAATATTAAAGAAAAAATCTACAAGCATGAAATTATAATTCTAGTATTTTACAATAAAATGTTAGCATGAAATTATTGACTTTTAAGGATTCCTGTCCCACTGTATAAAGTAAAAATACTAGAGTTTCCAATGTATTTTTTCAGAAATGCAGTAACCTCCCTTAAATTCTGATTAAGTTATTACTATATATAGTGGGACCGGGTTCGGGGAACCACTGCTGATCTTGGAGATCAGTTGCAGTTATGGGAGCAGTATTGCTATTGGCGGTCCAGAGTTTGAATCTTATATTCTCTAACACAGGACAGGTGTATCCACACTTTTCCCGATGTGAAACATCCTTGTCTCACCCTAGGGTTGAGATGGGGGGGGGGGGGGCAAACCCCCG